TTTAAATTATATTAAATTATTAAATGAAAGATAATTCTCAATATTAAGAAGGTTATTCTTATTCATTAGTTTAAATTATTTGTTGTAATTTGAATTACAAAACATTAATTTTTTTATATAATTAATCATTAAATGTATAAAAAGAGAGAGAAAAAAAAACTCACCAAGTGCATTTTGCAAGAAAATGTTACAAATGCCAGTTAAAGCACTAGAAAACAGGCATGGCTATTCGCTAACCTAGATCGATGGATGGCCCAAAAAAAAAAAGAAAAAAAAAAAGGAAAAGTGCCAAAAAAGGCATACATGGACATTTCCACAATGTGACATGCAAATAACTGATTTGATTAAAGTTAGATGATCAGTCCAATTGCAGACTTGTGAAAATGATGGTTTGAAGAGGATTGTTCAAAATAATTAATGAAGAAGGCCTTCAGGCCATTAATAAAATATCTAAAGATAAAAGATTTTCTCACACATTGACAATAGTTTAAATTTGAGTAATCCCCCCTTCATCTTTTCTTTTTAACAGGATGAAATGTTGGATCACTTATCTTATAAAAAGAAAAAAAAGCTCTTCATTTAGTTTAATAACATTAATTAATGCAGAATTAAATAGAAGAAGAATTATTCACTAAAAAAATTAGGTGTTGGAGTATATCATTCACATCCTAAATTACTACACGTCTAGTGATTTTTGGAGGAAAAAAAAAAAACGAAAAGAAAAGACAAGCCCATTGAAGTTGAGAACAAGAGGTGGTTGCACTGAAACAAGTGGCTGAAGCCTCTTACCTCAGAACGTGGAAGACATATGTAGACACATGAATCTATACAATTTGTTACCATTTCAAAAAAAGAAACATGGAAGTTTAGACAATTTTAGATTTCTAACACAAGTTTAAAATTAGAAATAATTCGCTGGTCATGTGGTACTTTGTATACTAAAATTTCATCTTTTTACTGATTAAAAAAAAAATTCCTTGATCATGACTTAATATATTCAACATTGAACCAAAAATATAAGAGGTGTTTGTTTTGAAGTTTCATAAACTGTTATTAGTTGTTGGTTTAATTAAGGGGATTACATATTCTCAATTATAAATAATACATTGAACAAAAAATATAAAAGGTGTTTGTTTTGGAGTTTTATAAACAGTTATTAGTTTAATTAAGGGAATTAGATACTCTCAATTATAAATAATAATTATTAATCATCAATTATTAACCATCAACTATATTTAAGTTGTTAATCCAAACACACTCTAAATTTTTTCCTAGTTTTAATTTTCAAGGTTTTAAGTTTTTAACTACCCGTTTTACAAAAAAAACAAAAAAAGTTTTTAACTACCCAAGTGTTGAAGTAAAATGTCAAAATCTGTCAACTTTGTAAAAGAAGGTTCTTGTTTAAGCATTAATAAAATAGTAAATAATGCAAAACTTTATATCAATTATTATTAGTAATTTCATATTCTAAATTACAGATATAAAATTTAAAATTAGAGATAACGTGAGTAAATCATAAAATGAGGAAATTTATTTGCCTTTGTATAGCACTTCAAATTAATGTATAAAAAAATAAGATAGTGTGGAAAAATTAAAATGAAAATGAGAAATAAAAAAAAAATAGAAATAACTCTTATGGGACCACTTGTTTCACACCATCAAAAACATATCTTCTAATTTGGCTTATCCCACACTACACTACACCGTCCCATCCCCCAATTATCTTCCTTCTCTCGACCACCAACGCAACAAGGAATATCGACCCTAGGCCTTAATAGGATAAAAGCTGAAGCAACAATTAGAATGAGTTGGAGAAAAAAAAAATATTGTTGATAATGACTCAAATATTCTATGGTATAAACTATATGGGTAATTATTCTATACCCCGAATAAAGAAACACATATTATGAGGTTAAAAGTCAATTAATTTTGAATATTTTTATTAAAGTATGGGAGCCAGGCACTTATCAAACATTACGTCCAATTATTATGAACCCAATTTGGTTATAAAATTGGGTGTATAAAAGTATAAAACCAAGTTTCATTCCGAGTATACATACGCCAAGATTTTTGAGAATAGGCAAGCCTCTGTGACTTTTAGCATATCCAACCTAAATTTGACATTTGCATTGGTGAGACTATTGGACCAACCGCCATGGACATGACATGGCATTGACATTGTTTTCTTAAGCCAGTGATTGAAGGCAAAATCTTCGGAAAGACCATACAAAGTTTTGTTTGACCATAATCTTTCAATAATTTTGTCCCAATAAATAAAAAGCATAATTAACTTCGAAATTGTTAATTGCTTTAAAAAACTCAATAAAAATAAGAGATTTCATATTTAAATTATATGATTTACAAATATAATAAGTTATGAGATGAAAGATTGTTATGTTTGTGAGTATATGTTTGAGGTCAAGGACCTCAAACGTCTTAACTTGAGTTGCTATGACTGGCTATTGCCTTGAACTAGACATGGTTGAGATTAAATAACTTGATGACTGAAGTCCAAGTCCTTTTTCCTTTCAATTACACAATAAGTATGGTAAGATCATTTTGAGCTGATTCTCTTTTTGGAGATATTTGCTCTATTAATCATGTTAAACTTTGATTATGTTGTTAAAAAGAAAATGTGAATACCTTTTTAAAATTTATAAATATCTTATAAAATCATCTGCTACAGATACTAAAATTGACTTAAAACTTTTTATTACTCCTTTTAAAATAAATTAACGTATTATTAATTTAAGTGTGGAAATGTGTACTTCAAAATCTAACTTGGAAACCTTAGAAGTCATTCTATTTGAAGGATCAAACTCGAAAAAGGCTTGAAGACATTTTGTAACTACAACGTCCTATCACGCAACCGAGATATAAAGAAATAAAAAAACATTAGCTTGGAAGTTAGAACGGATATTGAAGGTCATGTTCATGGATGGACCGGCCAACCAATTCATCCACAAATCACTCTGATTTAGAGAAAGAGTCTCACTTTAGGGTAGGCCAGCGCCACCGCTATCGCCAAACTGGCATGAGCCCACCTATGGAAACATAGAATCCAGAAATACAATAAAATAGGATAAAAGAAGAAATATAATTTTTTTTTTTTGAGGAAAAAGAAGAAATATAATAAAATGAGTACCAATTACAAATAAATAAATAAATAAACGCGTAGTACTAATTCCGTCAAAGAAAGCAAAACAAAGAGTTGAAAAGAGATTGAAACCAACGGCCACCGCACAATTGCTGAACCGCTACTGTACCACTAAAGGACCAACGGACAACCGCCCCACTTCACCAATCACGACCGGTTCTTCCGGTGGCTGGTAATGCTGAAAAAAGACAATTGCATGAGATTGTAAATTTTAAATTATTAGATAACAGTGGGTTTTTAGTGATGGGTTGTTTATTATTAAATAATTTGTGTTTTATAATTTGATATAATTTAAATTATAAATTAAAAAATTATTTTTTTGTGGTATTTTTGTAATTTATA